ATTTCTTTTTGAATGCCTGTTTCCTTGTCTCCTTATTATATTTGCAAAGGAATCACCCATTGCAGGCTGTTTGTTCAAGAGGCAAATAATTTTTAATTTCACATAAGTTTTTTCATATCTAAGACAACGTTCACTGTATAAACTGCTCTCCCTTGTTTTAAGGATTTTAAAGCGGCTTGTTTGCTCTTATAGGTAGCTTTTATCTGATCTAAGGTAAGATTAAACTTTCTAGCATTGCTTTGAGAAGAAACTTCATTCTGAGCTGAAAAGTTTTTGGACTGTATCACCATCTTTAGCTGAAATACTACATTTCCCAGAATGCATTTCTCTTATATCAGTCCCTTATTGCAAGCTAGCTTTCAGACTTCATTTCCCATAGTTCTTTTCGGGTCTGAGCGTCAACTGGTTCTCTTTTACTGGACTTGCTTACAAATTCTTGCCCGGGAGGTTTGAACCAAGTTTTTTTGCTTTTGCAACGGGAGATTTGAACCAAGAGTTTCAATTTCAAACATTGAGAGATTTCTATTCTCTCCTCAGCTGGCTTTAACAGGTGTTTCCCTTTCATTTGACACAGGCCCCTCCATCAGAACTGCACCTGCCTCGGTTAGCTGGCACTGAGGCAGGCATTGCTTTTAGCAACTTTCCTCGGGGCTTGTGTTTGCCTTAGCCAGTCAGTGAAAAACAAAAACATTTGCAACAGCTTTTCCATAGCTCCTTCAGAGAGATTTTCTCCCACTGATTTTATTCTCATTTTGCTTGTTCCTTCCCCGCCAGATGCAGAGTTTCAGGTATCTGTCTGCGGCTCTGTACCTCTGCTAGCTGCCTTTGGAGGAGGGGCTTTTTTTCTCCCCCCGAATCTGCCTCAAATTCTATCAGCTTTTTCAGGTCATGCATTTTCTGGGGAGGATCATGTCCCTTCTCTGTTTCTTCAGAGTCTTTCTCCCAGACAGTTCCCAGTTTGGTCTCAGTTTATCCCCTCTACCCCAGAAACATTTCCCAATGCCACAGTGACAGCTTTTTTGCTTCTGAAGGTAGGGGCTTTAGTCTGTTTCTGTTTTCGGGGTCTGAAGTTTGTGTTCATAAATCAAGCTTAGCAAGGGAGGTTTTTTTTGCCATATCTAAGCTTGCATTAGGACAGGTGTTTTTCCCTCAGGCCTTTCACCTGACCCAGTCCCCCAATGGGTTGCATTTGCTTGTCTGGGTGCTCAAGGACAGAGCTTATGCCAGAGGCAATCAATCACCTCTTAGAGCTACACTCCCTCATCTCACTGGGAGTCAGTTGAAACTAAGCTTTTCTTAAAGAGATGCTTTCTCTGACAGAAAAGAAAGCTTTACTCCTGGATAGTTCTGTTCTGCCCTGGCTGGGCTCTTTCACCAGACAGCGTTCTGACTCAGCAGCACAGCTGCTTCAGACACAGTTGAGCTTTACAAACTTATTCTGATAGGAAAGCTTTTCTCAGATTTCTTTTTGCAGCTGTGGACCTATCAACCCGGGACTTGTAGGAAAGCAGACAACTTTCCTACTGGCTTTAGCTTTGGTTGTTCATTAGCAATCTTCCCCTGGGTCCTGCACCTTCCTGCCTCAGCTCTGTGCTCCAGGAAGTTTACAACTGCAGGAACCCTAGTATCCCCGAAATACACTCCAACTCAGAGACACTGGCCAGTTGCCTCTGGGTTTTTGCTCAGAAGAGAGGATACAATGCTAACAGTTTGCATTGCTTCAGGGGATCTTTGCATTAGGACGATTAGGAGCACCTTTTCATTCTGAAACACTCACTCAGAAACAAAACCCTTGATGCCTCAGCTTGGCTGTAACTGAAAAGCTTGGCTTTTTTGCTTTTCTCAGGTAAAGTTTCCTGCTCTATTGGGCGGGCTCTTTATGGCTCTTCACCCACACTCTCCTGAGTCCCTCAGGGGACTTTGACCCACTGTCTTTTACTAGCTTGAAGAGACAGAGAAGAGAAGGTTTTTAGGAACTTGTCCCTGCCTCCTGCATTGCAGGGAGGATTTTTAAAGCTTGAAAGATAACTTAGGTTTTGCTGTCTTAAGAGGCTTGTTGTTTTCCCTTAGAACAAATCACAGGTGGTCCCCATACTAATATCTTCAGGTGATTTTAGTTTTTGTCCTTTTGAGAAAGTTAAAGGCTTTAGTTTTTAAGTTTGTGAGCTTTTGAGAAAGATTAAAGCTTTTTAGAGAGATTTCCCCCCCAAATTTTCTAAGAAAAGCTTTTAGTTTAAGAGAAAGATTTTTTCCCAAGAGAGAAAGACCAACTTTTCCCAAAACTTTTGAACTTTAAACTTTTTGGCTTCTTACACCCCCATTTTTGCCTCAGGGAGAAATCACTTTCTCCTGCCGCTTGGACTTAGCATTTCAGCTGTCCCCAGGTCAAAAGCTTCCATAGGAAACTTTTTCTTCCCCATAAGCTCAAAGAGCTTTTTTTACTACCCGTAAAGCTCAAAGATTTTTTGCCCCCAGTTTGCGTTCATTGCCCCCAAAGTTAGAAAATTGAGTTTTTCTGTCCAGTTGCCTTACTTATTTTTTCTACACAATCTTACACTTCTAAGTTTTTCCTACACTATATTACTAAACTATACCTTATACTTATTTTTCACAGATAGAAATTGAGAAAGGGAAAGAAGATAGAAAATTTTGACAGAATTTTGCACTGCAGCATCGGACATCCTTCCAGTCCATTTTCTTTTTCTCTCGAGGATAAAACCCCTGCCCCTCAATAATAATATATATGTGTATACATTTATATGTATATATGTATGTATATATATATGTATACACACACACACACATTATCTATTCCATAACACTGGCATGCCGCTTTGCACTCCCAGGGCTGACTCACACTTTCGCCAGAAACTCTGTAATAAAACTATTATTTTCCTTTTTCTTTAGTCCCTATTACTTTGTCTTTAGTCCCTGTTCATTTATTTGTCTTTAATTCCCCCCTTTTTTGTCTTTAGTCCTTTTTTTCTTTTTTCTTTAGTCCCTGTTCATGGTGCCATTCTGTAGGGCATTTACCCACCAACCCCACAGTTCCCCAGAGTTTTCTTGAGTGTGAGCAGCAGGAAATATTAGATAGAAGGATTTAGATTGCGGAGAGAAACAGATAGAAAATAAAGGATAGCCTCGAGAGGGCTTGGAACCTTTTCCAACGGGCCCCGACTGTCTCTGCCCCAGGGTTTTTATAGAGACGCCAAGGGGTGGAGCAAAAGACCTCCTCCCCCAGCACAGCCAAGTGCAGACCATCTCAGACACCTGCACTCAGGCCCGTGGTCTAATCATCCTCTATGCGGACATGCTGGGTAAAGCCACGAGGAACCCGAAAACGGGCTCCTACACATGTCAACCTTGATGTTTGATCTTAAAGATAGCTGTACCAATGCCATAATTCTTACAGATGCAAAACACAGAGAACACAGATACAGAAAACATCAAGGAAAAGTCACCTAATAGCACTGTATACTCTGCTCTTAGATTAATGGTTATAATGAGCTCTGTTAACCTCAGAGCAAACCTGCTTTTGCCTCTGAGCAGGCTGGCTCAGAAGAAGGCCACAGCTGCTTTCATGCAAGACCAGAAAGAGTTCATTTTAACTAGTCCTGGCTGCTGTCTGTCTCAGAGCTGTGACATTACTGTTGAAAATTACATTCTTTCCTTTTTCTAACTTAAAAATTTTTTTTTAGTTATTTGGTGTTTTTCCTGAATGTGTCTGTGCACAGTACCTAAGAGACCAGAAGAAGGCAGGAGATGCCTTGGACTGGAGTTGCAGCAAATGTGTAACTACCACGTGCATTCTGGGAATGGAACCTGGATCCTCTGTAACAACACCCAGTGCTCTTAACTGCTGAGCCATCTCTCTAGCCCCTCTTTTTTTTTTATGAATTTTTTTATTAAAACGTATTACATCAATTTCCCCTTTTTCTTCTCCCTCCTTTTCTCTCCACGTACTTCCCTTCCAACTTCCTCCTTGTTAAGTGTGTATGAGTAAGTACACTGAAATATATGAGTACACCTGCTGAGTCCAGTTTTGTTATTTGTATGTTTTTGGTTTAAGTCTGACCATGTTGTACTTAGGGAGCTCATCCCTGCCTGAGGGTAATTCTCTCACTTTTTAATCAGCATCAGGTGTCTGACCCTGACTAGGCTGCCTTGTACAGGAAACATAATCAAGAACAGAAAATATGGATTGGAAAATACTTGAGTAGTTAAGAGTACCGAAGAATCTTCCAGAGCACTCAGCTTCCATTCCCAGTACATATGGAAGCTCACTACTATCTGTAACTCCAGTTCTAGGGGTTCTGACACCATCTTCTGGCCTCCCTAGACATCAGGAATGAATGGGGTACAAAGGCATGCACACAGGAAAAAAAGCCATACACATAAAATAATGACTGAAATTAGATTTGTTTTTTAAAAAAGCCACACCAACAAAAACCATAAGAAGAGTGGACTTGCACCATAAAACTTATTTTTCAACTGTGTGTGGTGGTGAACTCTTTTAATACAGAACTCCAGACTCCAGACACAGAGGCAGGAAGATAACTGGAATTTTAAAGCATGTGCTACATAGACAACATCAACACACACATCCACCATCCACACAATTTTAAAAAAAATTGAAAAAATTGGAGGAAGAAGGGGAAGTGCCTATGGAGTGCTGGAAGATCTCAGGGTCAGGAATTGGAGCCAGAGCAAGTGCTATTGAAATGCATATCTCTGCAGCCTGGAAAAGGTCTGGGTCTGAGGTGGAAGGCAGACACAGCAACCATTGTTCTGTGTCTTTAAGCACACTGTAACCCTAAGGGAGGTGATCTTGTCACTCAGGTGTCCCTAGCCAATCAGGGCCCCCAGGTCAAACGACCATTCAGAGTGGTGCGGGGCCTTTCCTGGAGCCAGGGTTGTGGGCTTGGCTTAGCAGAGGAGCTGGGGCCAGTGTCTTCAGGTGCTGTTCTGTGAGTGCTGCTGCTGGGAAGCTGTGAGGAGCCATGGACAAGCGAGGAACCTATGCCATGGTAAGCAAGGGGTTGCTGTCCCCAGATGGGGAAGAGCGGATAGAAAGGTTCAAGAGCCAGTGTGGTGGGTCCTCCCCAGGGCTGAGTTGAAATCTGCAGCCAGATTGCCTGTTCTGTAAGTTTCCATGGGGTCCCTGCAACTCCCTGAACCCTGGCACAGGCCTTGGAATAACTTTGCTCTGTGGGCTGCCTCTTTGCAGAACATTGGGAACAGGGAGCTGTGTGTAGAAACATAGTTGTAGTCAACAACACCATGCTTTTGGTGCCTCCATGGCAGGCAGGCTTTCAAACTTAGAGAGGCCTACTTTCTCCAGTATCTTCTAGACCTTCAGCACTTTGCACTTTAACCTTTACCGGTTAGATCATTTACAGTTAATTTTGTGGAGGTAGTAAAAGGCATCTCTTGTGTTGGATAGCACTCCTCTACTTAGCTGTGATGTAGAAGAGTAGAATTGGTGATAAAAAACTTACCAATGCTTAGTAGGTGGTAAGTCTGAAACAGTAGAATTTAGCTAAGGGAGGACTGCCTCTAGAACTTAGGTAAGTCTATACTAACCAGGCCTGGTAGAGGTAGAATGCTATGATACATATTTTTTCACCAGGATTGTCCAGACATTTGGCTCCAAACAGTCACAAAGGAGACTCCCCTGACTGACAACCAGCCACTAGATCCATGTCTGTGGATCAAAGAACAGGCCTCTAACAAGCTGCTCGAGGAGACATTACAGGGTCACAACCTCCCTTAAGGCCTGGTGGGCCTTCATTTCTACTTTTCTCGAGAAAAGCATAGTTCTGAGAGATGAGCAGTATGACACCAGGTGACAACTACTGGAAAAGTAAAACACTGTTGTGTTTTATTTAGGTCCTCAGGCAGGGAGGAAGAACATTCTTGGGAGAGGGATTAACAGCCTGGAGCCTAGTCCAATGGAGCTTGGCCTAAGGCTTTGATGTATTGAGAATAAAACCGAGCTCTTCTCTAAAACCAGGAATATAGAGCTGGTAGTGGTCCGGGGCCAGGGCCTTTGTGGAGGGGTTACTCCAGATCCTGAGAACCCAACTCTTCCCACCACATGGAGCTGTGGTTGTCAGTTCCAGGGTCACTGTAGGCTGAGTCAGTAATGTCCTTAAGATACTGTGTCCCCTTGTGCAGTATTATTTGATTAGACTCCTCCTGAATTTGTCCCCTTGTATGACAGTTTCTGCTGACTTCATAGAAGTTCCCCATTTCCTTCCATTTCCCCCAGAAGTGTATACAAGATTCTATTCTTATGAAGCTTACTTGGCATGAGACACAGCTTGTGCAAACCTCCCCACCCCAGCTTTTATCTTTTCTACCTTCCACTTCTCCTGTCTTTCTCATTCCCTGGCACTTTCCCCTCAGGACCCTGTCACTGAAGAATGACCTGCTGTATCAGGTCACTGGTGTACTTCAGAAGTAATTCTGATAATATCTTTGCTGTGTAAGTCTCCCATCTGCCTAAGTGTTCAGACTTGCAGTCTCCCATCCCTATATATGTTGTTCAAAGTGTAGCCTGGGGCATGACCCTAAAAGAACCTTAAGGATGACAGCATAAGTGGAATGCAGAGTCTGTCCAGGCTGGCTCCTCTGTGAGCATTAGACAGAGATAGAAGCATGCTGTCATTAAAGAGACTTTTCTTTATTAAACTCCTAAGTGTGTGGAGTGATTTCTCCCTGGGAAGACATAGTATTTCCAGAGCAGCTGCATTTCCAGCCTTTAGCAAAATGTTTCTGAGACAAGCTCCCTTCTATTGACTCAGGGGGCCTTGATTTCAGACTGTTGCACTCCAGGGCAATGATCTTGTTGTCCTATATTACACCTCCAAAATTCTTAAATTAAATGACTACCACCTCAGAGTTTTAAAGTTCTCCATTTGAGTCATGTAGTGGACTGTCTATTGCAGTTACAGGAAAAGGATTTTCATGTGGAGCGTGGCTTCTGCCTTCAGACCAGATTAGGAGGAATAGTTTATTGTGTACACTGCAGGGGGAAACAGGCTAGGCAGTCAGCTGCTGGAGTCACCATTATGAAAAGGTCCTGATTGTGGCAGGAGGAGTTAATTCATAATTTCCCAGCAGCATGTATTAATTCATGTGAAGTGAATGAAGACAGACCAGATTGGTGGGTACACAATTTGAGAAAGTTACCTTGAGGTAGTGAATATTGAATTTGCATTAGGAGACTCTCCTGTGCAGATATGTTCAGTCCTGATTCACACAAATAAGTCAGCTTAGAGACTTGAGAAATAGGCCACTGTCTGTAACTGTGTGTGTCAGGTTACAGATCTTAGCAGCCAACATGTACTTACAGGCAAGATCAATCAGTCTCTTATTAATGGTCTTCCCTCTATTAAGAAAGGGCCTACTCTTTTTCAAAGTCAATACAGGTAAATTTTTTAATCTTGAAAATATATTATTTTTATCATTTTAAAATGCCACTTATTGGTATCATTTTTTAACATTTTCTTAATTATGTGCATTATTGCTCTTATCTCTATTTGTTTCTGTTCTCCAATGTTTCTTTTTTTTTTTAAAAGATTTATTTATTTATTATATATACAGAAGAGGGCGCCAGATCAAGCCACCATGTGGGTGCTGGGAATTGAACTCAGGACCTCTGGAAGAGCAGTCGGTGCTCTTAACCTCTGAGCCATCTCTCCAGCCCTCTCCAATGTTTCTTGATCATTAAGAATGTCATTCCTTTTTTCTCAAGTGCTATTGATTTATTTACTTCTGTTTAGAACAATATGTCCTGTAGCCCAGGCTTGCCTGGAGCTGAGTTGAGAATTACTCTGAATACCTAATCCTGCCTCTGCTGCCCCATGCTGGGAAAGCAGTCCTGCAACTTCTTCCAGGCTGGGCCTTGACTGGTCAGTGAGAAGGATAAGAGACCAGGGAATGAGTGTCCTCCAGTCTCTCTGACTTACTGGGGAGTTACAAATGAAGAAGGACCTGTGCACGAGTTGAGGTCCCTGACCAACTCTGAGGCTGATGTAGTCACAGCACAGAGAAGGAATGCAGGAAGGAGGGTGAGAGCTTTCCTGCTTTGGCAGTAGTTGATTTTAGCGATATGGAGTCAGGTAATCAATTTTAGGCATCAATAAATGTCCTGACTGGCCATTTCTTGAGGTCCACAGACCATAGCAATCAAGAATCTGGGCCCAGGACTGACCTTATATAACTAAATTCCTGCAGTTACACTAGTTGAACCAAAATAGAGGATCTTTGTAAAATGTTGTGGCCCTGCCTAACAGGACTGTTATTTTCCTGTTGTAAGATGTACAGGCTAAAGGGAAAGATGTGTGTCATCCTTGGAGTGCTCTCATATAAATCCCTAGCCTCTGGAGCATATGGCCCAGAAGCCTGTTTGAACTTTTCAAACTAACTGTTTAAGAGAAAAACTACATCACACCCAGAGTCTCCTTGTTGCCTCCAAGCCATACATTGACCCTTCATTGTTTTCTTATTCATGGCCTCTTTTTGGCTTTATCAATGGTCACTGTTTGAATGTGACCTGCTTGGCTGCAGGACTTTCCAACTAAGTAGCAAAGGGTTGGCTGCACTGGACATTGAGTGTGTAATGGAATGTGCACATAAAGGACCCTGCGCCTTGGAGGAGGAACAGAAAGTGTTTTGGGAGAGTGGAGGAATGTCTACTAAAATACAAACTTTCCAGTCTAGGGCTCTGTTTCCTGGGCTGGAAGTGTAGAGCTGGGAACACTTGTGCTGCCTGAGTCAGTTGATCTCTGCTCATCCATTCTGAGGCCCAGCTTGGTGGCCATAGCTAATGAGGGACTCTGGCAAGGCTTCGCAATAGCAGTACTAGTTTACAGGTTCTTTCCAGGATTCTTCTCTGCTTCTGCTGTAGGGAGTTGTAAGGAAGATCACAAGCAATGTCATGGTGAGTGTGGGGTGTTCAGAGCAGGTCTGCTGTGCTGTCATTTCTGCTGGGACTTGAATGGACCATGAGTCAGTCTGTGGTTGTGTTGGTCCATGTGATGACCTGGGCAGTAGCCCTTGTCTTCTGAGCCTCCCTGTGTGGGATTTCCTGGGGATGGCTGGCTGTTTAACTTTGACATTGGAGGATGTGATGCTTGTGATATCACTATCCAGTGTGCACACACAAGCATTGCTTGTGTTGTTTGGTAGGAAAAGAAATTGGAAAAAGTGAAGGTCTGGTTCCTAGGAGTTCTGAATATTGCATTCCACATTCAGATTTGTCTCCTAAATGTTACAAATAGTTTAGGAAATGGTTGAAAGAGGTGGTGTGGATCATCCTTCAGCAATACATGATTAGAGTGCTTTTAATGTTCTGCTACCACCAGTCACCATGGTGTGATTCAGTGAAGTTCAGTTCCAGGGGACAAAGGGAGTTTCTGATCTGCAGAGATTTCTCATGTGTCTCCATGATGTTGGGCAGGTGGATAGGGCAGATTCCACATCTTGTGCCATGATCCATGTGTCAGGAAGCAGATTTTAAATTATTTTTCTGTGTTGTTTTGGGATGGGGCATCAGTGGGGCTGTGTTTACCTGAAACCACAAGGAGCCATAAGGGGCTGCAGAGATCACATCCATCTACAGAAAGCATTAGAGCATGGGGCTTCTGTCTTTGGAAGAAATACCAGTAGCTTGAGGGTCAGAAACATAACAGTTTAAGGGTCACTTTGAGTTAATTTTTTGGAAGTTGTGAAATCTGTGTTTATTTAATTTCTATGCAGATAGAATCATAGGTAGCTGGGTAACATAGGTCAAGATCACACTTTTCCAGGCACAGTCTGTCTCCCATCCAGTAGTCTCCCCATTCTCTCTACCTCCATTTCTCCTTGCAGCCTGCTCTCTCCTGTTCCCATCCCCACCCACCCCTAGTCTATCCAGAAAGTCTATTCTGTTTCCTGTTTCCAGGAAGATCCATGTGTCTCCTCATGGAGCCCTCCTTGTTAATTAGCCTTTCTGGGTCTGTGGATTGTAGCATGAATATCC